AAGCCTTCAAACACTGCTTTCATGAAGTATTAAATAAACAAATCTTTTGTTATATATCCTAATAGCATATTAGCATTATACGACTATGACATCAGATTACAGAATCTAAATGCATTGCGCATCAGATGCCTCTCCACCAAGTACAAACTAAGGCCTCTCCTTAAAATGGTACGTGCCTCCGCTTAAAGTTGTTACATAACACACTACAATCAAAATGACTAGTTCAACTTGTATGGTTGGACAACAAATCAGTTCCTAAGCCTCTTACACTGTCGTTTAACATTCATCATTCACCATAATCGAGAAGCCTGAAGTTTGCTCACCGCAATCCAATATAGTACATTTCCAAGCTACAAATTTACCATCAAAAAGTTTGTATATGCAAGCATACCTGACAATGGATAACAAAACTAGAAATTCCGCTTGATTTTACAGACAAATAAAAAAGATCACATCATCACACTTACAGGACAATCTTAAACTCCACAACAACAATTAAATTTGCAATGATTCATCATCACAATATGAATATGATCAGAAAAATGCAATGCCACTGTTTACTCCACAGCATGACCCCTCAAGAAAAATAAAACTTCGAGTTCGAGCAATAGTGGGTTCAATACCAAACGCACTACAACATTCCAATCTTTATTCTTTCCTTCTTAACCATTTCCCAGACCTACCCAGTTTGAGGTTATAGCAGTTCAACCCCTCCCATACCAAATTTAAAATTTAAAATTTAAAAATTTAAAAAAAATGCAAAAATGCCATGAAACCGACACTGAGATTTTGGCAATCAATGTATAAGTGCAGCAAATTATATCATTTAAATGGAAGCTGCAATCGTATGAAGGTCTATGGCCTAACCAGACAACCATAAACAAAGAAAAAAAATAAAAAATAAAAAAAATTGCTCATTCAGATTGCTAGTAAAGAAAAATAAAGAGGAGGACAACTGGGAATATTACCAGCGCAACTCAATTAACGGGTCGACCCTTTGTCTTGTCTGATTGGAGATTCGCGGGAACCAAACAGAAAAAGAAGATGGGAAATTGAGAAATTCAATTGGAGAAGAAAAAAAAACATGAAGAAACCACGGGTAGAGGGTGAAAGGAAGAGAGAGTTGGGGGGTGAATGTCCACATGCTCAGACGCACGTGGCAAGCAAGACTTGAGGTGGTCTGAAATTAAATATGCGGTGCCTAAATAATTTAATCAATTAACAATTACCAACTAAAATTGTTAAAAACTTTGTTTTCCGAAAAATGCTAAGGAGACCAATTTTAGATACCAACTTGTATATCATCTCTCTAATAGAGTGTGTGACTCATTTTATTCGTAGACTTCACTTTTATTAAAAAGAAGGTACGCAAGTTGGTATCTTAAGTTGACCTCCCTAACATGACCCTTGTTTTCCAAGTTTAAAAAAAAAAATTTGAGCAAAAATTAATCACAGAAAACAAATTCTAGCAAATAATAGTAAAGGTTTCGCAGGCCATTGGAGTTAAAGGAGCCCGTTTTAGCTCAACCGCTAATTAATTGGGCCTAATTAAAGCCAAGGCCCGACTAGGGCCCAATTATTATATTTTTGCTTTTTTTTTAAAAAAAATTATAAATAATATTCTGTTTTGTTTGCTACCCGTAATAATTCTATTTGTCCTTAAAGAACCAATGATTTTCACATTTCAGCTACTGTCCACTGGGACTCGCCATTTCTGTGAAAAGAGAGGGAGAGAGAGAGAGAGAGAGAGAGAGATGGGGATGAAGTCTAGTTTGGTGGAATTGGTGCCCTTTGCAGCCATGGTGATGGTGGAGATTATGGATGTGGGGTTGACCACACTGAGTAAAGCAGCCATGTCCAGAGGAATGAGCCACTTTGTCTTTGTTGTCTACTCAAATGCTCTGGCCACTCTCATCCTCCTCCCATCTTCTTTCATCATCCACAGGTTTTCCCTTCAACTCTTCATCTTCCTATTCATCTCTTCAATCTTTTATGTCCAACAAAAATGTAAAGTGTTCTGTTTTCTTCTTATTTGCAGAAACAAGAGACCACCACTTACCTTTTCTGTTCTATGTAAATTCTTCCTTCTCAGCCTTGCTGGGTATGTAATTTAATCTCAAGACCTTCACTTTGGACCATAAGACATGTTGGTTTTCTGGCTTTTTTTTTCTTCTTTTTGTTAGTTTCACTCAGTTTTTTGGCAGGATAACTGTTATGCAGAATTGTGTATTCGCTGGAGTAAGCTACAGCTCTCCTACTCTTGCTTCTGCCTTGAGCAACTTGGTCCCAGCTTTCACCTTCTTTCTTGCTGTTATCTTCAGGTTGGTCTTTTTTCCCTGCACCAGATAAAGAAACAAAGGGACAGAAAATTGCCTGGCCTTCAATCATTGAAGGGTATGAGGCACAATAAATAAAGCTTATAACTTTTAAATTCCGTTGCATCTAAAATAATAAGATGGATGATGGATCTTTTGGCCAAGTAAGAAATTGATTTTGGAATTTAATGGGAGTTTAAGGGAGTAAGGAAAGACATTTTGGTAATGGAAGGAACTTAAGATTTTGTGTTTGCTTATAGAATGGAAAAGTTCGATTTGAGAAACTCAAGAAGCCAGATCAAAATCATGGGCACCCTGGTATCTATCTCAGGAGCATTGATAGTCACTCTTTACAAGGGTCCTGCAGTTGGGTTCTTGCCAAGCCAACCTGCCATAGACTCTTCCCCACCAAACCCTACTATGTTGACATCAATGAATAATTGGGTCATTGGAGGCCTTTTTCTTACAACAGCTAGCTTATCTCTTGCCGTATGGAATACTGCTCAGGTAATAATATTCAATATAACAAGTCACTTGAAATTGACGTGAAACTCTTCTTTTCCAATTCAGAACTTTTTGTTGAAAATGGAGCTGATCTTAAGTTCATGTTATATCTGAAGGCAGCAATTCTCAAAGGCTACCCATCAGAGATGACAGTAGTTTCCTTCTATTGCTTCTTTGGGACCATTCAATCTGCAATACTTACTTTGATTGTAGAAAAGAATCCAAAGGTCTGGGCACTGAGACTTGACATGGAGCTCATCTCAATCTTGTATTCAGTAAGCACATAGGACAAAGTTTTAAATCCATATTTTTCCTCTGATAAGTGTTCGTGCTTATTTATTTTGAAAGAGCTTCTAATTTACATCATTGGTTTATTTCTGCACAGGCTATTTTTGGAAGTGTAATAACATTCTCTACTCTAACATGGTGCATACAAAAGAAAGGACCTGTATTTGTGGCCATGTTCAAGCCTTTGGGGATTGCTATTGCTGCTTTAATGGGTGCCATCTTCCTTGGTGACACACTCCATGTTGGAAGGTGACAACCCCTCTCTTTACTGGCATTGTCATATTATTGTGCTTAGGGTCCAAGTTTTTTTATTTTTTAGTACAAGTTATTGGGATGGGGATTTACACAAATATTCATTGAATGTCTGGGGGTTTCAAACCTCTGCCCACATAGGTGGAGGTGAGAGAGCTCAACCAACCTATACTCCACTAGCGTGCTTAGGGTCCAAGTTAGTTAGGCAAGTTAAATTACAGAAACAAAAGAGAAATACTCCTTTAAAACTCTCATTTATTAAGAAAATTGCTTTGACATATTATAAAGGGCAGGTTAGTCTCTGATGGGACTTTGCTTTCATAATTTTCTAATCCATCACGCAAAGAATAATCTATTAAATCCCATGTAAAACATGGATTAGATTTAGGTATGTACTAAATACAATATGATAATGCGAAAACAAATGCGTAACTTGCGTGATTGGTTTGAAAAAATTGACATGTAAAAAAAGCTAGAAAGATGGTAGTTCAAGCTTGGCACTCTTTACATTGGGCAGGTGAAATATAATGAAAATGTGCATCTGCCAGTCAGATCTGAATGGTTGTTCAGAATTCATAGAAAGAATAACAACCTGGGTTTAGAGAAGACTTTTACCATAAAAATAAAAATAATACAAATATGATAAAAGAAGGATTAGGAAGAAGCCTCAGTACAACTATATTTTCATTTAATAATATATATAGGATAACAGTATTTTTTTTAAAATTTTGGGTGGCAGTGTTATTGGAGCTCTGGTAATTGTTGTGGGTTTCTATGGAGTAATATGGGCGCAATCAAAGGAGGAAAAAAGTTTGGACCAAAAGAGAGACGAAAAGGAACAGGGTGAAACCCATGAGGTTGTTGATAGGCTGCAGTCATCATCACAGAGTACGCCTCTCTTGGAGGCCTACACACAACATGTATGAAAATGAAACAAAATGCATTCCACACTTGGATAAGTTGAAGAAAAATGTTATATTGTTATAATTAAGCCAAGTTTCTATGCTTCCTTAGATATAATAACTTATGAAATCTTATGAATCTCTCCGATGCTAAAGATAAGGTGCTATTCTAGATTGAGACGTTCCTTTCATAAAGACCAATTGGGTTTCCTTTCAACGTTCAGAAAACTTGTATAAAGAAACAAAATTTGAGGATCATCGTCGCTCAATTTAATGTTTTCATGCTTACATCCATCCCTCGAAAGAAGAGAGAAAGCAACAATCCTCAAGGAGGCACCTGAAAAACTACCGAATTTTTCTGAGAGGGTCTACAACTACTCCTGACGCCTCCCAGGAAACAAATATCTAAACTATGAAAACATAGCTAGCACCCTCCAGAGTCTTACAATTTCTATTTGAGACACTGCAGAAGGTGGGCTACAAAATTGAATACGTAATGCGCCTGTGTCCAGTCCAACCTCAAGTCTTCAGATCATCAGACATTGCTGAAGGTATGCAATGTGTAGCAAGAATGTCTAGAGTTGCTTCTTTAGCAGTATTTGTTCGGAGGACCACCATCTGCATAAATACCGCAAATTAGGATATGGTACAGACAGAAAGCACACATGCACAAAGGAGGGGGTTGGGGTGTGTGTGTGTGTGTGTGTGTGTGAGAGAGAGAGAGAGAGAGAGAGAGAGAGAGAGAGATGATAAACCTGTTGGTATTCTAAATCAAATTTCAAAAATTCATCCTCGCATTCCTCTACCATGCTGGCCAAGTTCTTCAGATTCTTCACTGGCTTACCATTTAAAGCAAGAACCTACACACATATAAAGAGTAAGTCGTCCAACAGCAGATTATTTGAAGTAATTCAGCTACTAACGTCCAAAATAAAGTAAAAGCCAGCATAGTGCAATCCTCGACCTGAGTGTTAACTATTTCTTCATAACCGATGTTGATATCAGCCACAAGAACCTGAAAGAAACATCCCAAATTGACGTGAAAAAGTCAGCACAGGGTCAACGCAACCCTTCCAAGAAAGAAATGAGAGAGAGAGAGAGAGAGAGAGAGAGAGAGAGAGAACCTGAGAAACAACGACAAGCTGCTCATCCGGTGATTGTGGCAATGAGTGCAGCATTTTGTCCAAAAGCTTGACAGGGGCTTCAAATTCATAATCCTTTCCATACTGAAATACGAGCAGAAGGAGTTGGATTGAGATAGCACACACCATTTTATCTTAATTTCAGATGTAACCTAATCATAAACTTTAAAGATACTAGAAACTGTTGTAAAAAGCAAATATAGCAAAGGTAGTATTGCCTAATGATGGCAATCAAGCCATGTTACTCATTGGGTCATTTTAAATTTGGGTCAAGTACTACACAACCCCACCCCAATACGTTAATTCATTGCGTCAGATGATTTCAGTATTTACTTACACACACACACACACTGTTAGGATTTTGGCTCGTCAAATATGTCCTAGTTGGTTTAGGATTGTTTTAGGAAAATTAGAGGTATGTCCTAGAAGGATTAGGAAAGAATTTCAGTTTTCCTTATTCAATTCAGGTTTGGATTTCTAGAAGTCTATTAGGATTTGGATAAGTGTAATTTCCTAATCTACTTAGGAATAGGAATCCAATCAGCCTTGGGACATGTAAGCCAACTCTATATCTATAAATAGGGTGTGGCAAGGCTTATTTTAAAGAGAGGAAAAACAGCCAGAGACAGCCAAGAGTTTTGAGATTAGTTCTAGGGTTGCAAAAGTTCTGTAATCTCTATTATTAATCAAAGGAGCGGTGATTTCTCTACCTAGAGAAATCACAACTGGACGTAGGCAAAAGTTCTGCCGAACCAGTAT